ACGTAAGTTATTATTCGCAAAAGTCATATATTTAAAATAAAATTACATGTAAATGTTTCGGTCAAGTTGTGACTGTCATCAGCACAATGATGACATCTGCAAAGAGAATGCAAATGTTGTAATGTAAAAAATATAATTTAGCACATTAGAATGTCACAGTGCAAAATTCCAAAAATTAATCCTGCCTTCATAATCTCCTTTACAGTAAAATTAAGAATTGATTGTTGATAACTTGTATGTTAAAACACGGAATCACCAGATTCCGTGAAATCTCCTCATTAATTATATATTTGATGAATTAAAAATTTTAATTAATTATTCTTTTTCAAATATTATTATTTTTTTAAAGCCTACTCTACTTATTTTCTTCAACAATTTCCTTGACCTTTTCTCCTACATCTTTACAGCTTCGAGACATATAAGATTTTGTCTTTCTCTATCCTTAAGACTTTGGCTCAGAATTATATTATTTAGACTTATCACACAACTATCTAAATAATTTACTAAGTCACTTAAACCCATTTGGAATTTCCTTTATTTTAATACCCTTTATAGTTTATCAAATTTTTATCAAGTATAAAGCGAACCAATCAGAACACACAATTTAATTACCCCATTACCCTCAGCCTTCACTCCTCGATCAAAGCGCGCCCTTTTTCCAGACTGACCCGTCTAAGCTACGCCCTCGGCGAAGGAGGAGTGAAGGGAGTTTATTTTGACGCTCCATGGCTGCCCATATATTACTATCATATATTATCGCCTACATATCGATTGCTTACAATTATTTTGTGTAAAAAAATAAAATTATTACTAAGTAGTCTGAAAGATTCGGGGTTTACACCGCAGTCCTGTAACAAGATCAATAGTATTTGACGAATAGTTTAACTTTTCTTTGCAAATGGATCTTGTATAATTATGTAGAATCAGAATATATTAAGCTTTCCACTATGAAGATTGTTCTTCTTTGTATTGGATACCATGAGGTGGAGGGATTTTGATGTGATGAAATTATTGAGATAATTAAAAATCTTGAACGCGATGAAAGTGCTATTATAAATATATTAATGACTATTTATCACGATATTATTAAGTTTTATATTCGCAAATTAATAGTAAATACTTAATTAATAGTAATAATTAATAGTAAATACGATTTAATTGTTGTTAATATTTCTTCTGCGTTTATCAATATTTCATTAAACATTGGTTTAGAAAATTTTATGTTATTGTATGCATTTTCGACGTTTTCGTATAATCTCGCATTACAAAAATTTGATAATTATGCTCCTATGTTATCTCATTTTTATTATATTTTGAACAGCATTGATAATTGTATATTGTATTGTAAATAATCATTATAATTGTATTATCGAATTGTATAAAAAAATACAGTAAAGAATAATATTTTAAAAGTTATTGCAATTTCATTAGCGAAATACAATAAAATAATTAGACATAAAAATAAAAAAATAAATTAAAGATATACTTAACTGCAAAAACGGGCTACTAAATTTATTAGTAGCTTGCATGTTTTATGGGTGAGTATACTTACAAAGAAAAATGGCGGGCCGCCGATAAAATTGGCGAGGGTGGTGGAGAGCTCGTTTTTGCTAAATTATACATTAAATTGACAGTATATGTTTAGAAAAGATTGAATTTAAATGTCTTTATAATTGCTAGTAATTATAGAAACTTATACTAGCAATTATATTTGATAAATTTTGGATGAAAATTTGCATAAAGATACATAATTTTGTAATTTTACAAGATATTATAAGATAAATATTATATATAGAACAAAATTTATTAAATTAACTTATTTGAATTTTCAGTTCCGTTTATTAAAATTCAACAACTTTTATTTACATATGTAGCAGATGTGAAATTAAAATTCTTTCGTTCAAGGATCATTAAATTATTTTTCCTATGGATACTGGATAGTTGGCACGCTTCTGTCCTTAGGATGTGTGTGTGTGTGTGTGTGTGTGTGTGTGTGTGTGTGTGTGTGTGT